ACACTTTTACAATTCATTGACTTGTTTCAAGCATTATGCACATTTGTGTTACCCAGAAAACCACGTCATTTCAGAAAAAGTACACCAGATCGTTTTTCAGGCATTTGACCTTCATTTTTGACCTTTCCAAGGTCGCAAAAACAATTTTTTCATAAGACAAGTTTGATGTAAAATTTTCCGCTCTTTCGAAATCCGCAGTCAAAAATAGGGTGTCCCATTTAAAAAAACCATCGTGACCTTGAAATGACCTTCAAAATTGACCTCAAGGTCAAAACTAATGGTACAATTAAATGACCCCCTCTGTCCTGGTCAACTTTTATCTAAACCATTTTTTTGTAGATACCGTAATTTGGAAGATATTCGGGTCCATAGATTAAAATGACTCACCCTGTATATTATAATTTCATACCCAGCAACATTATTATAAAGCTTGTATTAGACTAGAATTTGAAATGGAGATTGGACTGGAATTTGACAAATCAAAGTAAAATTCATTAATTTGATATTGATTTGTTTCTTCTGATTTGGTTAAATTTTAATTCAATTTCAATCTTTAATCTGACATGAGTTTTACATGTGTTAGGTTTATATTGTCAAGTATGAAATTATTATTATTACATTCAATTGATGTTTACTGGGAAGGAGTTCAAGAAGAAGAACAAAGTTTAACATCAGCTGATGTAATCTTGTATGCCTAACAGTGATTGGAAACAATGTTATGTTGGTGGTGAATATCGATATGGCCAATAATGTGGTGGTGGCAATGGTGGTGGAGGTGGTGGTGGCTGTTGTTGATTGGAAGACGACTGTTCTGATTGGAAGGTGGACGGTGCAGAATGCTGAGCAGGTCCAACTGGATACAAACGATGAGTGCGATGAGCCTGATGAGGATGGCAGCTCATATTTGTTACGCGCGACGACGTTGATGCTTCTAACATAATTCCTGCTTGCGACTGACAAGCCATCGTCAAACCACGAAAATCGAATTTGTATGCATAACGTTTACCATGAACCTTTGTCATTATATTCTTGTCATAGTAATATCTGTGAAATAACATTTTTCTTTTTTAACAACGCTGTGTTAACGTAAATTGTTCCAAAGTATTCTATAAGTCCACAAGAGTTGAGAAAAAAAAGAAAATCTATATATAAAAGTGGAAAAAAAAGAAAGGTAAACAATATATCGCTATATTAATAGAAAAATGACAATTTAAAATTATCAATTTTTCTCAGTAGAATATTTTTAAAATTTTCAATTGGAACATTATAAATAGGATAGTAAATATGCATTTTTATAACTTTACTTTCTTTTTATGTTATCCTTTTAATTATAAAGTATTGTTTAAAATTAGAGTGAATTTTCAAAATTCGAACACTGCAACTTTAATATAGTGTAAATTTCATTATCAAAATGTTGCGACACTTCTATATAAATAAATGAGTTACAAATGTGTCGTTGTTCATAGAAAATATAGTCTTTAGAATCAATTTCTTTTCATATTTATCTAAA